CACTCCGCTGGGAAACTGCTCTCATTTCAAGAAGCATCACATCAGTGCATGCACTGCATCGTCCAATCAGTGAGCGATACACAGTAAGGGGTCTGGTGGTTCCTCGATTATCGCTCCTCCATTATCGCTCCTCGCTCCGACGCTACTCAGGATGGCGCAGACAAATCAACTTCCGGTGAGACCGAGACCGAGACCGAGGAGCGAGGAAATGAAAAATAAGAGAAGTGAGAAATGCCCGGGGCCTGCATATCTCATCCGTGACTCCTCCTCTCAATGGCCGCCGTGATGTCGGGGGTCCTCCCACCTCTTTCTTCTATGTCCGATATCGCGTAAAACAGAGGATTTAGACGTTGTGTGGTCATTGTATAACTCCACACGCCTTTTCTCCTCATAAACCCTTTCATCAATTTTTATTTAATGCATTTTAACGGCTGTAATCGTTGTTAACGTAAACCCGGAAGTGACGTCACTGTTGATAAACGGAGACTCCTTCCAGTAAAGCTTTTCAAAATCAACTTTAGCAACAACGTTAGCCACAAGCCAATGCTAACCGGAAATGTTTTCAGAATAAAACAGTTTTAAGCTTACTGTATGTTTAAACTAAATTACGTCATTAAACATTGATTTTAATTTCTTTCAGTTATAAGAGCTTTTACTGATCATGAAAATACCTTTTAAAGCAACCAGTAGTAATGGATGTTCAGGACTTTTCAAAGATTAAAAAAAAGGAATTCTTCCATTTGTATAAAATCTCTCATCATCTAAAACACAATAAAGTGTGCAACACATGCAGCCAAAGGCCATGAAATCTCTTAGGAAAACATCTGCTTCCCTCTATGACGCAATTGTAAAAATACATGATAGGATCGGACTGAATTATAACATAAGTCCACTGAAAGTTGATAAACAAAGCCCATTCCTCATCTTTCTCCATTATATTCATGGTAACAGTTGAGCGTGAATAGTGAAAACACTCATCCCTTTTCATCTCACACTATTCTGGATAATCACACTAACTGCTAAACACCCATCGTAACCACTGATCTTTGTCACTCATCTGTTGTTGCCGCTCTGTGTCCATTCACATTTTCAATTTAACTTTATCCGTGTTGTTGTGCATCTCATTGTTTTCGCCACCGCTCGCTCAGCTCGTCTCTACTTCTCTCTGTAAACCTGCTGCCATCTCTCCTCTCTTCTGACACCTTGTTTTTACACAGCCACGCTAAAGTCAATGGCCGTGTCTATCTGATCATGGATAGGTGGGTACCTGCTCGCTTTCTGTGGCATCCATCACCATCCCAGTTCACCTCTGAGTCTCAACTTCCTCTTCCTGTTGCAAAACGTCCTTTTCCCCCTCACTCTGACTTATCCCTGTGACCCTTTTTGTGGCAATGATACATTTATACTCCTAGAGTTTTGGTATTTACTGACATGAATGGTGTTTGTTTTCAGGTTTTGTATATTATTATTTTGCCTGTAGCCTTCTCTTCATAGGTTCTCTTCATCTTCCTGGATCTTTAACCCCCCTCCAAACCCAAGCCCAGCCTTTTCCCTTCTACTTCTCTCCAAAAGAAACTGTCAAACAAGCATGTTTGATTCTAAAATAAGTATAACTATTCTTCCCTTCCAGTGTCTTGCAATACACCCACTTTTCTGCACTGAATCCCAGAAAATTACCCCCTTCCTGAAAAAGCTCGCCTACCCCGAACCACATGAGCCTTTTTGGCCCCTTTTTATGCATTTTTAATAAAACCATGTGGATGTTTGAGGTGATGTCAAGTGTTAGTGTCAGCCTTCCTTTGTTGGTTTTGTCTCCTCACTGTTCATCTGTGTAACTTTATTGTCCTGAGCAGCATCAAGCAAAAAATTCCCCCTCCAAAGAGCAAGTAAGTGTGACCACAGGATAATGAAATGTCTGCCTTGATATGCGGCCGGTTCATGCAAGTCAAACCCGACCCAGGAGCTTGCTACATTGCCTGAGAAGATTTTTAAAGGGTTGCCTCCTTTTAGCTCCTACCATTATTCTTGTGCAAGAAGAAAACTCCCTCAGACATTAAAAACAAACAACGTTTAAAGAATGCCAAAGGAATGTGCACTGCTTATTGATTACAATGCCTGATGAAACGCCGCTCTGTTTCCAGTCAGCGGACACACAGCTGCAGATTCCCATCCAAACATTTGCATCAGAGTAATTTGACAATCAATTGGACCTTGTGTATTAATGCGTGTTGTATTTGTATGCTTATGAGGACAGAATGCCTTCAAAAAAATAGCGATGTAAGGGGAAAAGAACATGATAAATAATGTCTATACATTGAATTATGTAGGACTGATATAGTTACATTGCTGTATACTGTGAAGATCAATTCCAGGTTGCTTTCTAAGGTTCATTTATTTCAGGTTACCAATGTCTGTTGACTTTTTTTTGGCGGCCCCTTTCGGCCATAAGCATTAATTGCAGGTGTGTTTTATGATCATATCTTATGAGATACAAACTGTGTGGCCACTTGTGACACTATTGCAAATAGTGCAAATGCAAATATCCAAAGGATATTTTATTACCTAATTGACTTAAGAGACTTATTTCTAAAAACGAACATTGTCTCTCCACTGTCTCTAAAAACCTTAACACAGGGGTGTCAAACTCAAGGCCCGGAGACCAAATCTGGCCCGCCACTTCATTTTATGTGGCCAAGAAGAGCTTGCAAAGAATATAATCAGTTTATTATAAGGTTACGTGCCGCTTTACAGGAGCACGTTGCCCATAAACTACATGTCCCACAATGCATCTCATTTTGTGAGATGCGCACTGAAGAGACTTGCAATTACTTACAATTATTTTCCCTAGACCTCTGCTTTCAGACATAGTTAATTATGAAGTTATTAGATAATAATCTAATGCAGAGGCAATATTGTTAAATAGTACATTATTTTATATATATTATGTATATTTATCTATGTATATATTTATATAGTCTTAAAGTTACCACCGGCCCTTTGAGTGCAACCATAATTCTAATGTGGCCCGCGATGAAATTGAGTTTGACACCCCTGCATTTACCGTAAAACTTTTAAAAAGTAAGTCCTGGTTAAAGGTTTTTACAACTGCTAAGAAAGTATAGGAAGGGGTCTCAACGTTCAAATAATAGGCCAAATCTCAACAGCAGTCATTTGATCAGTTTCTAATTTATTTCATTTATTAATAGAATATGTTGTGGTTCCAGAGTAGCCATTGAATGGTGGAAAATGGCTTGCTTATACATACAGTTTAACGTCAGGTAAGCAGGTTAAAGACATTCAGTCAGTCATTCAAGGTCCTCATAAGTGTAGAAATACAAATATGTATGTGTGAGTCTGCATGCGTGTGTGTGTTTGTAATAACTTCTCCACCTGTCTTCAGACTGGTGCACCAGGACGGCAGCCTGGCGGACCTCACCATGCTCAGCGCCAGCTCTGTGGAGACCACGATATCCAGAGAGGAGCCGCAGCAGGAGGAGGACCAGGAGGAGTGGAGGGGGGAGAAGGAGAAGGTCCTGGTGGTGATGGACGACACCGACATGACTGGAGAGAAACCAAGGACTTTCTCCGACAACCGGCAGTCGAGCACAGACGAGAGCCGGCACTGCAGCGCGGGAACCGAGCCGGAGCCGAGCACCGAGCAGAGCTCAGGTAGAATAGAATAGGATATATCTTTATTGTCATCATACAAAGTACAACATAATTTCTTTGGCATCTCTCACTGCAGTAAAAAATAGACACAATACATTACATGTTACTTGTTAGACACTTTTATCCAAAGCGACTTACATACTCAATACTGTGGGCAATCCCCACAGGAGCAATTTGGGGTGAATTGTCTCAGGGACACAACGACATGCTGACTGCAGAGGGGTTTGAACCTGTGACCCCCTGATCCCAACACCAAAGCTCTATCCACTGCGCCACACGACTCCTCGTGTACACAATAAATATATAAGAGTGGTAAAAGCAGAGCGATGACAGTGCAACGAGATGTCAATGTGCATATTTACACTTCTAAATATATATTAGTAAAATGGCCTTAAATATTTCTAAATAGTAGTGTGTGTGTGTGTGTGTGTGTGTGTGTGTGTGTGTGTGTGTGTGTGTGTGTGTGTGTGTGTGTGTGTGTGTGTGTGTGTGTGTGTGTGTGTGTGTGTGTGTCAGATGGAAGCTGTACCTCAGTCTGTTGGTGTGTGATTTTATTGTCCTGAACCGTTTGCCAGATGGAAGTACTCCAGTAACCGAAGTTCTTCGGTTACTGGAGTACTTCCATCTGGCAAACGGTTCAGGACAATAAAATCACACACCAACAGACTGAGGTACAGCTTCCATCTGACACACACACACACANGGACAGAGGGTGTCGTATTGTCATACTGATATTCTGTACAAACTGTGAAGTCCACTGAGACAAATGTAACATTTGTGATATTGGGCTATATAAATAAACATTGATTGATTGATTGATATCTATAAACGTAGCCGGCCCCTCGGGGCGGGCCTATCTGAATGCGTGTGCAAGCCCACCATATATAAGGCGGCCACACCTCCTGACTGTCATCCTACACCCTCTTCAGCGAGCGGCATAGGACAGACAGGGCCCTAAGTAGAGGGCTCCGCCTGTGCTTATATAACTAGGGTTACAATACGTAACCCCCCGTTATATCTTACACAGGCTCCGCCCTCTACTGGACTCTATAGGTACAGTGGGTGGAGCCCTGATGCATAAACGCCCTGTCGTCCAACAACATCGACCCATCACACTGCCCCTGACCGGCTTTTGGTTAACAGCCACTGCACCGTAACTTCTTCTCCTCCGGCTGTTACCGTGGAGAAGTCGGGGCCACAATTTACTTGGCTGGTAGAGAACACTCAGACACGCTTACCTCGTGAAGAGTGTGCATGGAAAATAGTGAGGAAGGCTCTCCCCGCCTGCACATAGGCACCATGTTTCCCGGGTCCCTAAGGAGCATGGGGAGAACGTAATTGCACCATGTCCCCTAAACTCACACACGCCTTGTGTAGAGTGTGCATGGACGATAGTGGAGAGTCCTCCAGCCCAGGGTTTCCGCTAGGATTTTTTCTCGCTGGTCAAATGTCCGGACAGAATTTATTTTACCGGACAAATTTGATACTTACCGGTCATGTTTCAATAATAATAATAATAAGAAGAAGAAGAATTGTGTTGCAGAGTTTCCGTTAGCAGGTAATTACCGGACTATAACAGGATATGGTGATGTTTAAAACTCAGTTAATGGGGTCATTTTTATATTGCTTCAGTTTAAAATCGTGACAGATCGAAAAAATTCAGATTCATTTTTCAATAAATTATTCCACAAACAACATCATTATTAAATTCAAACAAACTACTTGTAGTAAATGAAGTACATTATTCAAAAGTTTACATCAACTTTGAATAATAACACGGGAGAAACGGATCCTCTCTTTTCTCCTCTCCCTCTCTCCTGACAGCCCGTCAGTTTCTCATGCAGCTCGCTAAACAGTGGGCGGGGCTTCAGGTGATCATGCAGAGCTGCGTCAGCAGCTGATCTGATCTCTCTCTCTCTCATCCGGTTACACTTCACTCGCGTTTATGTCCATATCGATCAGATCCAGCTCTCCTGATCGGCCTTTATAGAGAGCACCGATCAAACTATTAAGAGTGAATATCGGCCGATAATGACCTGCGGGGTGGAAGAATAAAACAGTTTAACTGTATAGCCCTCGACCTGAACAAACTCCTTAGGTTCTTGGGAACAAAGGAGGGGTTCGGTCTGAGTGTCGCCCCACTACGGTCACCCCGGATCAAAAGGCAACTCGGGTGCACCGACAGAGCGGCCAGCTCGGATACTCCCCTGGCCGAAGTCAGGGCAAGCATCTCTAAAGTTTACTACTATAATCTCCTTCCTACCGGGGGGAATCTCTCTAACCGACCGACAGTGGCAATACGCAGTGCTGTGGAGTTACACGTTATCAGGGTAAACACGCGCACCAGCGATACACCACCACACACACCATTACTACCCCTTAACCTACGATCCCGACTGGAGGGAGACGGGGAGAGTAAAGGTAAAGTCGGTAAAATGACAGAAAAGTCTCAGCTCTCGTAACACCCGAGTTGGTCCCTCGTCAAACAGGAGTAATCTTGACAAGACTTACTTTTGGTCTCTTGTTTTCGTGACACCACATATGTTAACACTTACGGAAATATTGTCGACTCTTCTCTTTGTCTCGTTTTCTTTCTCCCTAAACAATCAGGTAAATAGTAAACCAACAATTATCACAAATGCGAAAAATTATGTGTAGGTATCGCGTTTACCTTTTAAGATTTGGTTCCCAAACTAAATGCTACTCTCCTATTTCTACGGTTATTTCTTAGTAAACTGATCAAAGAACGCCAAGAATGACAACATTCATGGATTCCTTACACTGTGTTCGAAACATTTATACATACCTGGTCATATGGACTACTATACGCCGATGTTTCTCGTAATATCGTATGCCTCGGTTTTACAGAACTATATATTCAGGTACCGACGGTACGGCCGCAATACCAATACCTAACCCGTGTTAAGGTATTCACGCCCTAGGCCGACACTCGCTCGTCTCACATAGCCGGTATAGTTTTTGACTTAGAAACTTACATCAAATAGTAAATAAGTCGGTCGGAAGAAGTACGAAATGTAGATGGTTGGATACGTCCTGGGATAAAAGTCCGTTTTAGAAGTTTTTTTCGGTGAAGGAGAAACCATAGTAACCACCATGGTAGAGGGAAAGAGAATAGGAGAAAAAGGTATAGTCAACAAAAATAAGTGAAACAAAATAAGTTATGTTAAAATGAAGTGAAACGGTAGGCTTTTAGAAATGACAGGAGGTGTGAGGGAAACAGAGAGGACGGAAAAGGTTCGACAAAGTACATGTCTGTCCATTGTTAGGTCCGAAAATGTACCTTCGTCAGTACATCTTCCCCTGGCATAGGAGTTATGTGGACAGGTTTCCAATAAATGCCACAACCTCGTTTTTTGTTTGGGTATGTGTGAGTGTCGTATCTAAAGTGTCAACGTGCCACCTCACCTCTTGGCCAGCTAACTGTTTACCCTGTCTAACTAGGTCACTTTGAGGTCAGCCACGTGTGACCTTTTGTACACACTTACAACCCTTATCACACAATTATAGAATGTTCCGAGGCGGGAGACCTGAGATACCATATGGAGAATTGGGTATGATACGCTCGTAAGTGGGATGACCCTATAGATATTTGCATCGGCCGGGCAGCCCGGCCCGGATGGACTTACACACGTTCGGGTGGCATATATTCCGCGCCGGTGCGGAGGACAGTAGGAAAAGAGAAGTCGCTCGCTCGTTGTTGGAGGTCCCCCCATCGATGACTCATGTTGTCTGATGGCAAACCGATGAGGGGATTAGGGGTTGGGCAAGTGTTTAAGTTCCAGTGTCGGCAAAGTCGGCGAAGGCGCTGGTACCGTACTCCCAAAACATTATGCTGGAGGTATCGGTACCGGTCCAGGTCCCTTCTCCGTTTGTGTCGGGTTAACTTAGGTTCACCTAACACCAGTAACTTCTTCTCCGTAAGGTATGGAGTGGTCGTCCACCCCCATAGACCCTTAAAAAGCGTTGCCACTGTCGAAACTGGTAGTACGTCTGAGACCCAGAGTACCGCCGACGAGTGGAGCACCATGGACGACCCTCAATGAATGAGCGGACCAAATCTCCACCAAAAGCCCGATAAGCAAATCTAGGTTGCTCCGTGTTTGGATACATCCTCAGGGCTTCTAGTGTGTGATACAGACCACTGGTAGGTGGGGGGGGGAGTCACCTCCGGTTGGAGGCTATGACCACAGGGGTTTCGTAGACGCCTCCCTTGAGGCGACCCCGCCCACTGGAAAGGATGCAGTGCGACAGTTCTACGTAGGCACTGTCCTACCCGCCTGGACGGTTCTCTCTCGATATCCACCACGACCGGAGACCTGTCTTTTGAGCCGTGAGTTGGACAGATCTCGATGCCCGTCTCAATGACGAGGATGTCGTGACGGTTGGGAAATGATGTCTCGTTTGCTACACGACCACTCCTCGCTGTTTGCGTGGTGTCACCGAATGTAGTTGTCCGTCCTGCCTCAGTCTAGGCGGCGGACAACATCGTGTCGCCTCTTGGACACCAACACCGGAGTCTCTTACAAAAATAAGCTTCCGGGGGGTGTAAGGCCCTGACCTCTTGTCCCGCCTGTCGAGTACAGTTCTCCGCCCGGGCGACGGTCTGCTTACCACCAAGAGGACCGAGCCGGCCTGTTAGGTGGGAACCCCACCTGTGCCAAACGTGTGCTCGGTACCGGTCTTCTATCGACGGAGAATGAAGAAAGGTGGCGACGCAGAGTAGAGGGGGAGGACCTCTCCCACCTCAGGCTCTTGTAGACAGTCAGTAGGATCGCCGGGGTCAGCGGCTAACGCGGCACCATGCGTCTCCACTGTGTCTACTACCACGGTCCAGCACTGCCAAGGAGTCCAAGACCCCCGCAACAGAGTCCTTCGTCCACGTTATCCCCGCAATGGGTGAGACCGGTTAGAGAGGTCCGAACCGAGGACTCTCCCTGTCCGATCTGCCCTCCCTGACAGCTGTTTCAATAAGTCTGATA